CTGTCGGTCTCAGGTTGCCTGATGGCTTCACACAGCTCAGAGGACTGGCTCACCTATCACTCAATGACGTGTCGTTGCAGTCTCTACCCAATGACATTGGAAAGTAAGTCTATATGAACACGTTCTATTCCAGTTTTTTTTTAATTATTATTAGTTATTTTAATAAAAATGTGTAAAAAGAAAATTGTCCCTCGCACAAGGAAATGTATTATGTAAAAATTTAATGTTTTTTACACTTTTTCATTTAGTCACAATGAAATGGATGTAGCGACAGGTCTTCTCTTCTGTATTGTGATGTACACACGAGTGTAAAAGATTATCAAAAAGAAAAAACTGAAGGACGGTGACTTTGTTTAGTCTATCGGTTGTCCAAGAGTCCAAGAGAATTCCATCGTTTTCATTTTCGACAGTGTGATTAAACATTACGAGGTCAAACTTTTGATGAACCTATGCATGGATGAGTCATTCACAATAAAGTCTGTAACGTGCTTTCAGAAAATAGGCAGGGTTAATATTTATTTCAAGTTGAGTTTAAAATTATAGATATAAAAAGCAAGCATCATAATATGTGTCTGTTATGTCAGTCATTTATATGATACTATATGCGTGTTAATGTAGTATAGCCTCAAAAAGCAACCCTTAATTTTATGCAACATGTAATCAAAGTTATGGATAAAATCAAAGGGGAATACCTGTGCATATTATTTTAGAATATCTAAATGTCTTTTTATCATTTTCATCATCCCTTTTGTAATTAGCACACAAAGCAGGCATCCCATTCACATACAGACACACACACTGTCTCTTTCCATTTCACATACACACATTGACTTTGGCCACTGTTGATGTTGTGCAGATGGGGGAGCCCCTTACTCTTCCAAACTGAGCGACACACTCACCATCTGACACTCAGTCTTGGCTCTTTTCCTTTTTTTCTCCTCTCAGCTTGTCAAACCTGGTGACTCTAGAGCTGAGGGAGAATCTACTGAAATCTTTGCCCTTGTGAGTATTTTCCCATCAAACTGCAGTTATTAGATCCACAGTGTTCATGTTTTTTTACACCCTAAAACATGGATGCAAATAACATTAAATGTGAAATCTGTCTCGATCATCCTCTAGCTCTCTTTCCTTCCTGGTTAAACTGGAACAGCTGGATCTGGGAAGCAATGTACTGGAAGTTTTGGTAAGAAGCAGACATTTTTTTGGTCCTGAGAATAATTTAGATGTTTTAGTTATTAGATTATGCACACACATGCATGCCATGGTTTCAGGTTTATTTAGAGCTTGTTATTTCTGTTTGCCCCAGTGGATCTCTGATTATCATTTCCTTTACTGAACCAACACCTGAGCGCCTGCTGATTAATTTATCATTTAATATAGTTTTATTTTTTTTTATTAATATTTGCCTCATGTCACATTTCTCTTTTTCCATATCCTGTCTTTAATCTGCTTTCTTTTTATTTCTTCTTTTCAGCCTGACACACTTGGGGCACTGCCCAATCTTCGTGAGCTTTGGTTGGACAGAAACCAGCTCTCCTCACTACCTCCTGTGAGTACAGACAGCTTCTGATTAGCTCATTATCATACTGGTCATCTGTCTTGATTGTTTTAAATATCTAGTTCAAATTCATGCAGATGTTGTCCTTTTCAGGCTGAATGCATGTGCCATGTGCCTGTTCTGGTGATAACTGGAGTGGAAACTAGAGTGCCTTAATTCACTTTCAGCTGACTGAAAGTTGACCTCTGTGTTTAACAGGAGCTGGGGAACCTGCGGCAGCTGGTTT